TCCTAAAAGAGTATTAGGATATTTTGAAAAGGTACATCCTGAACAGCCGCATCATTCGTCTCGTACTAATTCTATATCGTCTTTGGGATGAACTAATATTTTCAACGTTGCCAGGATGTGTAACGGGGCATTCAAGAGAACTTACTGATTAAACAATATGTTTTGTATGTCCTGAAGTTTTGACACTACTTGTAGTTGCGTATATTCTAGCTACTGGAAAATCTGTTACTACGTTTGAACATTCCATATCATTAAATTATATTCCTTCCATACATAGGTTGAATCATAAAGCCAACGTGACTCGAATACAGTCAGCTTGCCTCGGTAAGTCCTCTCACACAAAAAGAAGTGGACTTTTTGAGTTTGTGAGATACATCTTGAGCTTACAAACAACGATTATACAGATAATCGTGAAAAATTCCATGTTTTGTTGGTTAGCTTGAGAGCAGTAGATATTCATACAAGAAAGGTGATACACTAAATAAGGATAATTTTATGACTGACAAAAAGCGACTAACTGTTAGTTGCACGAATGTTTGTTTATGAAGCAACCTTGCTATCTTTGAAAACCCCATTTGACATATGAAACACTGTCCACCCACAATCGTGCACATCATAATGATGCTTTGCTTCTGATTTGTCAATTTATTGCTTCACGAGTAAAATGCGTGTACAATGAAGAACGGTTCCGCCCAAAAGGAACAAAGGACCAGAATTAAAATGTATCACGTTATATTTTTAGTTGAAACCTTACCAGGTGGTTGGAGTATCTACCCGATTCTGTCACAAAGGGATTTTACTCTACTTGTGGGAGAGACATTTCACTCGGATTATGTTGCTTGCAGGATCCATAAAAAGCGATTTTTTGTGATATTACCAATTATTTGCAATTCATCCTAATTTTTTCAAAAAATTATTATGTGAGCACTGGGGCGTTTCTGTGCTCTCACGAAATTTGAAAACCCGTATTGGTTCAAGTCCGTCCAAAAGTTTACAGCAGAAGTTGAATGCTTTACAGCTTAGTTCTTGCTTGATAGCCTAAGGGAAGACGTGTGCAAAAACGCAGTATAGATTGCTCTTACCGATATGATAGGGAACGTGCCCCAAATACAGCTTGATGTTTTCAGGGCAATCCAAACGGAAATTTGGAGGTTTTCAGCGCACTAGGTCCAAATAAAGACTGAAGTCGAAGTATGTCTGAACGGTTTTGCCAAATCATTGCCAGCAAAGACATGTTTTACATATTTGCATAAAGGTACGCAATCAAATCTGCAGCTCTGAGAATGTTATTCTGACTTCTCTTTTAAAGAATACGATAAAATAATTATTTGTTTCCTATGTTGATTTTCGAAACTTTTTCAGATTGAAGATTCTACCAATAAAAACTATTTGAGTAACTACTTTCATATATTATATTATATATAGATATATATAGTACATTAAATTGTTCAAATTAAAATGCAACCGTAAGTGCGATATTACGCTAACACATAGGAAAAACGGTAAACGAACTCAGAACATCGTTCGTACACACATGTTCAGCACCAGTGGAACCAGCATCAGCAGGTGGTACAGTGACCCATCAGCTTCGTTCTTCGGTTTTAACTGAGTAGAGCCAAGTAGAGCTCTACTGGCTCAGCGAACCCATTTGCACATTTCAGCTGCGTACTGATTAAATAAATATTGTCGATTCAAGCCAAATGTAACGTACGTCTTTAGAGTTACCCAAAAAGAGACTCCATGAAGAAATTGAGTCGGGCGCATTGCTTTAAAATGATCGTATTACAAACCTACTGCTGTTCAGTGAAAAGAATTCTACTGATGATCCGTTACTGTCAACTAATTCCCAATACATTTGAGATTAAGTAACAAAAAGGCAAGTATCCAAAGGTAGATCTGGCCAGTTGAAGTACCTAGAAAATAAAATATTTTATCTTGAAAGACAATAAAGTGGCCGCAAGTCACTGGCGTGCAATCATTTTAGTGATCGGTATTCCAGAACATATGATCTAAATCGTAAATTCGACCAGTTGTAGTGTACTTTCCTATAGACAAAATCTTCTTGAATGTATTATTGATAGAGTCTGCTTGGGCCAGCTACCGTACACTGAGCATAAATAAATGGTAAATTTTCATGCAAAATTAAATGCAAAAATTGAATAACCAAAGTGCTTGCTGGACAACCGAGCGTTAGGCAGAAGTACCAAAAAGAAGCAAAATTAAGTCGAACATATAATAGATATCCTCATATTTACATGTTCACTCCATCTAGTCTCTCTAAGCCATTAGAATGCCATTTATTCTTCATCTTCTTTGACCTTGGTTAAAATTCTTTCACCTAATATCATACATGCAACCAAGTTCCATCCCAAAGTTGAGCAGACTTGTATCACGATAGCTGATGAAATTCCTCCATAAAACCTAGTGGAAACAACGACAGGTACGTGCACCTCAGAGATCACTTAGTTTATAAAGTACGTTGTGCGATGACGGTAATCCGAAATCGCAAGAACTTATTCCCCAATTTTTTAGATTTGTGTGTGTAATTAATATCCGGGATCGCTGGGTTGTGTGAAAATTGACATAAAATGATTCATAACTCTCCAACTGTCTGTTCTGGTCGAAAAGCACAAATTATATCTGATGTGCTTTTGGAGTAGGAACCAGTGTCCATATAGTTCTTATTTCCGCTCTTCTTTGGAAATAGCAATAAAATATCCACATTGCGTGACGCACGTTGATTCCCAAAGGCAAACAGTCATAACTTAGTTTTAACAATAGTTTTATTGAATTCGGCAACCAGCAGGACACTACCAAAGGGCAACGTTTAGACGGATAAACCAGTAGGTGTAACTATACGGTACCTTATTTCTAACTGGCTGCTAAACAATAATTCATAGGTGTATTTAGATAAATAACAAGATTATACATTTTGATGGAGCGCAGAATTCGCCAGATGTGGGTTTAATAAGACAAGGCAACCGAACAAAACACACCCTGGACATATTCAGGCTGTTACGCTTCAGTGATTTTCATTCTATTCATGCAACATAGGCAAAAGTATCAGCAAAGTATTTGACAAAAGTAACTTATGCTAAGCACATGGGGCTTCCCAGGGTTGCATTAGGTCATATGCTAACTCACAAGTACTACAAATAAATGAATGCAAAAATGTTAAGCAAACGCCTTCCACCGCTTTCTAACCGGGCAGTCTTGATACTTGATACGTGAGGACCAGCGGGAACAGACAAGAAACAGACAGAAAAACAAGAGATTTCTTTGTATTTTTGTGTTTAAATCAGACAAGAAAACACGGCAAAACCACCCAAAGAAGACGAAAGGCGATTCAAGGTTTTGTTTGAACGCCTTAGAATTGCGTGAGTTTTCAACGGAATGGTTCGAAAGTGTGATTTAACACTCTAGAGTTTAGTCATCGTGCAAGTGGATAGGAGTATGTGATAATTTATGATGTAGTGCTGAAAATGAAAAAATTCTAATGAACCCATTAAGACTAAAGCAAACGATTCAAGCAGCAGATCGTACCAGGCTTCTGTCTTTCCTTTCGTGATCCTAAACAGTTGGGCAATCATTATCTTGACAAACGTTAATGCGGTAGTGTAGGTTGTATGACCAGCAGGAGTGTACATTTGGTCTCTTATGATTAAGGTAATGGATTTGTTCTACTTTCACCCGGTATTCATTATTTAGCAACAAGAAATATTATTCATCAGTTTAGATTACTGTTGATGTAAGTGTATACATTTGAGCGTCTTCTGCCTCAGCTAAGTCTTAAGCCCATCAAGAATGCTGTGGGTTTGCGTAAGAAACCATTGGAAATGAAGTCATAACGATGCATAGGTGCAGTAGATAGATGAGGTCCACGGTTTACCCTTCTTCCAGTTAACGCTTACAACTCCGTACCCGGAAAGTCGTAACAAATTATATTATGTTTGTTAGTGACTTCAGTAATCACAATTATAATGCCTGAAAAATCACGAGAGGCAAGTTTTAGGACAATTCTTTCTACACTGGATCCGTATTGGGGATCACTCGACGGTCTTTTAAGTTTTTGATGCAAGGTATTCCCATGTGCAGACACTGATATAATTGCCCAGGAGACGATAAATGAATAAATCAAACACATCTAAAATGGCTCCACAACATATGCTTGTTTATGATGGTTAGTCATAGGAAGCAACATAATTTGTTTCTCAGAAATACACTAGAAACAACAAGCTGTGCATCTTGTAGCCACTCTTGAACATCCGTTTTTTACCAGTTTATTTGTTTTGCCAAGTTGATTTTTGTCCCAGTTACGGCCGAGAGCAACTTGATACGCGAAAAAGGAACATCACGATCAATCCATCGACATTGGACAGCATGCAGGTCTAATCCTCACAAGTAATCCTGATATATATTGTTGACGTTTCAACTATCATTCAATTTTTCGACTTGCAATTCATCCACGTTGTTAGCACCATATAAGTTACAATTCTGAAGCCATCTAATAGTCCAACTATTTAAGTAAGTTCAATCAAAGCTTACGAGTTAGAAGACAAGTTACTAAGGCGTAACGCTAGTTAGCAGCTATGTGCTAGTATCCGACAGAATATAGGCGATTGCTTTTCAACTTTCACTTATTTCATTATGCAACTGTACCTTTCCTAAAGGGTAAAATTACGGCATTTTTAGCCTCTTTGGTTACACCTTCAAGTACTTCTTACATATTAACAGTATTCCACAACTGAAAATGCTCCGAAAATGTTTTATTGAAATTTAAATCATGATATGGGGGTATATCACAGGGACATATACAGGAGGCGAGTCGATCGGTCATCGTTTTACGAAGATATCGGGTACACTCACGTCCTGGGTTCTCACTCGGTTGTTCTATCTTCCACCAACGATTGTTACACCAACGATGTTAATAGAATATGCACAAAATTCTCAACCCATTTTTCCTATATGAAGCACGATTCACGGCAGTTGGTGCACAGTCATCATCCATCTTCCACCGTTTGCATCAATCGTCGGATTCTTTCCCGACGTCCAGATCGGGAAAACATGGCATCATCCTGTGATTGAACTGAATTTATACAGGCGCTGCACAGGAGTACTTTTAGCCTTCGTCGGAACGCTTGGCTCATAAAGCAGTATATTAAAGGGTTGGACATATTGTTCAGGTAGTAACTATTATATCCAAAAAGAGTTCCTGGGATCAGGTGGTTAGCAGACAATAGAGATGGTGCAAAAACTATGATGTAGACGACAGCGACAACAAACAAAACAATCGCCGCTCGAATCTCTCGCCACAAAGCATTGCTACGAAGCCCACTAATCGTAAATCGATGGCGACTTGATGGGACTTTGCTTGGAAAATTTTCACCCTTATGCTCTAAGCCATTTTGGTGGGTTTCTTGTGTTTGTTGGTTGGTAGCATTGACCGACGCGTTTAGACTCACTGTTGTAGGATTCATCTTTGAGGAACTTGTCAGACTATACTTGCGTATCCTGCGTTGCGCCTTGAGTGCAGCCCGCAAGATTAATGAATACAGTATCAACACAACGAGTATTGATAATACAAAGCAAGAACTGTTCCCCTTCTGAATAATGTGGTAGAAATAAACCTTTGTCGATGTGATATTTGCGAGTTCGATTGCATCATGGCATCGGGGAACATTGTCGTTGCTGAGCTTTCCTACGTCTAGCGCCATCATATCCTGGGATAAAATACCGTACACACAGCAAAAGATGGCTAAAGCAGCCGTGAGAATTTTAGCTCGCCTCATTGTAAGCACATTTTTCAATGGGTGACATATGGCAAAGTAGCGGTCAAGTGCTATTGCGATTACCAGTAAAGAACTGAACATTGTATTGCACACAGAACCAAATGCGTGAAGTTTACACCACAGTTCACTGCTCGCTTTCAGCTCGACAAATTCCAAATAGAATGCTAATGGAACTACAAAACAGCAGACGATCAGATCGACTATAGCTAACACAAGAATGAAAAATGTAGGTGTCGTCATTTGTCGATCACAGAACTGGTCGGTCAGCGTTGCATCGTCATAGCTAGCCGTCAAGGTTGCACACTGTTTTTCACTGTAGTTGATCTGATAGCCTTTCTGAAAATGACGCTGTAGATGAGGCCACAATAAGTGCTGTAGATAGACGCCAACAACGAGTAGATTACCAATTGTCCCGAGAACGGATACAATTCCAAGCATGGTAAGTGTAGCAACATAATCCGCCAGTGTGAAATCATCACCCATTATAGTTAGCGCACATGATCTGCAGTCGTTTGTTGTGACGTGTATTAGTTACACAAATCTGCTTGTTTCGAATACTTACTTAAACTGTGTTGGCAGAGGAGCAGTACTGAGCCAATGAGAAGCAGTCAACATCAACATCCAATCAAACCAAAACAAAGTAGGTATTACTCCTATTGGTCGAAAATGATCGTGTGAAATTGTTGTGGGTTGGGTTCAACCAGCTAAAGCTACCAAACGTAGTACCGAAAATGAGCACGCATTAGCCTTGTTTTGCAGTAGTTTCCAAAAAAAGAACAAGTTTTCAAACTGACGGATATTATTATCACAATTCATTTTTCCAGAGATGCACTTACAAACGTACGTACTGATGGTCACAACTGTAGACCCATAAATGCCATTTCAATTATTTAGATTTGCCCGTTGAAATACTTGCTAAACATTGTTTTTAACAAAGGTTCGAAGTACATAGAATGCTAGTTGATGAGCAAATTTCAATTTATCCCGTATGATTACACAAAAGAGAATCACTGATGGACGAAATAACTATCAATTTAAGTCAAATTACTTGGAATATTGTTTGGATTCATTGTAACATAAATGATTTCATAACAACCAAGGTGGATGCATCTAATTTCGGCACAGCAGTTCGGAATGGTGCAATAATTTCTTGGTGGCCCAACAAGTGACGATTACGTCACACACTCTTTTAGACCTGGAGTGACCACGCATCGGGGCGAACCGGACGTTTTCATTACTGGAGATAAATTAAAAACGAATATGGTTTTTTACCAAAGACAACCGAGTTGTTAACCCGCGTGCAATAAGACATACATGGTAACCCAGATGAAATATATTCCATACAGAAAATATGCTTTATTGACCACAAGGCAGGTGGGAAAGGGAACGGAAGTAGTGGTTCCCAAAACCTACTATTGAACTTAAAGAGACTTCTAGTGTAGCGGAACGTTTGCTGTAGTTTCAATAAACTTTACACCGCCGCAAAATAACTTCCATATGAGGCATTTTATTGAACTTGTGTCCAAGAACTATGCACAATTCTTCATTGCAGCCATTCCTCAAGAAGTCCACAAGTCCGATAAGAGATTCTTTTAGGCTCTATGACCTTAGGTATTTTATTTGGGTTGATACCCCTTTATTGCGTTAGATCCTAACTCAGGCTCAACAAATGACTATCTTGTTTAATATTAAACGGCACAGGAGTTAATGACAAATAATTCTGCCACGATTTCGGGTCCCTACCAAGTAGAACGAACTTATCTTGATCGATAATTTAGTCTGGTGCACAAATCCAACGACATTCACATTCGCATCTGAGATATGGATTAAAAACCATGAAACTGGGACATGGGTCGAAACGGTGCGTGGAGATTTGTGTATATACTAGCACTCATTGTCGTGCTTGGACAACTATTCCCAACCACTTCAATTTTGTGTCTGGTATTCTAGGGCGGCATAAATTTAAAACACTCACCGTTTTATAATCGATTAAATGACTGGAATGCAAATACTTATTCGGTGCCACCAAATTTCACTGGTGCATTTTAGTGATGGAATTGGAACAGCAATAATTGTCTGTTGAAGTTCCCAAAACAAAATGTTTCAATGCAAACAAAAATGTTTAAGATAAGTAAAAATTTTAAATCCTGCTGTATGGTTTATGATTTTGTTTCTTCTCACAGAATACACTTTCGTCGGAATTCGTGGAACGAATTCTGAATACTCTTCATTGGATTAGACTTCTCTCTTGTTAAAACGCAGACGGAGAACTTCATAGTGGGAGACGTAGAAGAATTATGTTTTGCAGAACTAATTTCAGTAGCATTGCTCCCGGAATCTCATTTTAGTTTTTGACCCTGCTCAGTGGTGGGGTTTTTCCATCAGAACAAGGATCCAATGGATTACATTTTTTAACGAACTTTGCTACAAGGTTTCGGATCTTCAGAGTGCTAGAGACCATCAGCTGACGACGGCAAGTTGACGGTTACCGACCCAAAGATACATGACACCTTAATCGTTCAAATGGATTTTCCGGTGTCATCCTTCCCCAGTGTAAAGATAGCACTTGCTTTTCATTTGTCTGATTCTGACTTGCTTGGGGGCATTAAAACCTGTCATACAAAGGAAACAGTGCACTTAGCTTGACACTTTACTGGGGAAACAGAGAGTCCGGGAATGCAACAGAGGAAAATTCTGGGGATGATCATAAGTGATGACGGACGAGGTTGACGGTGAAGCAAAATCCGTATAACTCGCTGCGCTATTTGAATAAGACCGACACATTTTAAAGCTCTGTTTATGTTCTAAGCAGTTTCATTTTGGAATATTTTAGCAGAATAGTATTCCCAGTCCAGGAACCTAAAATGTTTTTGGTGTGGAAATTCATGTGAATAAACCGAAGGTAGGAAATTCCTTTTCACAATCTCTGAACTGAAAATTAAAATGAATAACCGGTCAGTAAATTGTAACGTGCGTCTAGCATCCATTTGATCCAGCCTTCCAGAATTTGGAACGCAGATCTCTGTCACACACTATTCAGTGGATGAAAGTCATGATCATTCACTTAGATATTTCTCGGTTGAAACAGGATCACCGGTAGCCAAATCAACAAACGCGCTTTGATGCCGTAAGCTGCATTTATTGCTGCATCTGCACGCTGAAAATATACGAATTTCGGGTTACTTCCTTGAATAAAGAGGTACGTTTAGCCTAACAGAGAGCTTTTCAATTTTACAGGATTTATTGTGGATATAGCTTACTACCTTTGCAATATAGTTGTGGTCAAACTTGCTTGAGCATTGTTTTCACAGCAATTTCGCGGATACTCATAAATGAGTGTCTCCACGCTACTATGGAATTCTGATTCAGCCATACAAAAAACCTTTCAAGGGATTCGCTACTGAGTAAATTGTTGGGAAATTAGGAAGCGCAGATGTTCTCTGGTTCGTTCGCTGAGTTAGGCAGTTTGATTGCAAGTTTTTTGTTGCCGTGCGAGATGACTTACCCCGTGTGTATTTATGGTACAAAATGAAGCCTAACGGTAGGATGGTTGTACGTACCAATCAAATTTTCCAGCTTTGCGAGCAAACCTACAATCATTCGCAAAGGGTGGTTTGCGATCTGGCTTGTAAATTTCCACCGTTTCTCTATTAATTAGAGATCACATTTAGATCTATGATATAGATTACTACTCGTCAACATACGAGCTCTATGCCTAACGGAAATCTCTGGCTAACACCACTATCGTTTACCACTTTTAATCAATAGATTTATTTAACGTTCACTCGTGGTCACAGTGCTTGTTTGCTGCGTTTCTCGTGCCAGTTAATCTCAATCAGTTGCTTAACTGAGTCTGCATTCAAGGACAACTGATTGTCCAATGTAAGTTCGATACTTTTGCGTCAAAATTTATTGTTCTATTTAAAAATGTTCCAAGTTAGTCCAAGAGAACTAGGCAAATTTAATAAACTGTTGTGGATTCTCTAGTTTATAGGAGTCATTTACAGTGATAATGACGAGAACAGGTTACCTTCACAGTTCCGCTGGCGAGCATCACGCGTATTCGAGCAATTTTGATGAGAGTAAAATAGACCATCTGCATCTTGTGAAGCTGTACATATTTTGCGTTTCTCCCAGAATGATACACTTTCATTTCATCTAAAACAACAGAGATCTCATATTTGTAGTCTCATTCGGACCAAGTCCATTAGGAAAGAATCTTTGATGCATTTTGAGAAAAGTGCCCGACAGATATCCACACTCAGAAACAATCAAATGTTACGAGGCTATTTTCGCAGACGGAACAACAGCCTCCGCACGTGCAAAGAAATCTGTTGTAGGCGATTGGACAGAAAGGATGCATTTTCAAGGTTTGAAGCGAAGGCCTGTCTCAGTTCATTGCCATCATACGAAGTGCTCGTTCGAGAACCTCACTTAAGCTAGAACTCGATTATAACTTTTACCAAGAGCAACCTGAGCAACGCCTTAGGTACTTTGTTGCCTAGTTGTTCGAATTGATCTAGGAAAGTTCCATGTGTACCTCAACGCAGAAAGTGCAAGATGGGTCTATGGTCTAGTTGTCTGGCTTTGGATCCGATACATACTTTTTTATGTTGAGTTTTACAAGGAGTCTATCCGGGAGCATGTCTGTGATAGAGCACGCACAGACACTCTCCGCGCTCCCTTCGGTGGTTAAGTTAGCGGGTTAAGTAAATGGATTGGTGGGCGCGATTAGCCAGACCGACTAGAAGCCGTTCTCCAGACTGCACTGACAACGCCTGTTGCCAGTAGCATTCGACTATGTAACCAAACCATTTGATCCCGATACTTCCCAGCTATTGGCTTTCCCTGATGCTTCTTGGCTGAGAGCGCCTCGAATAAACCAATGAATGCATGCGCCCCTCTCTTATAATTGTTGTTTAGTCTTTTCGGGATTGTGACCATCCGTGTCTCAGTGCACATCCCAACGTGTTGCCGGTCGATTCTCCCATAAACTTTAGAGAAGCATGTTTGAATGTTGCACGGGTGCGTGCACAACAAATAAAGTGGATCCGTTCAAAAAGCTACATGTAACTCACGCATGAACATTGATGTTAGAGGGGAACGCTACCTTTACGCTTCTGGGCAGCAGTATGCACCAGACTGCAACGCGCTCAGTCACTATTCACTTATTGTTCATATGCGTAACAAATTTTCTGGTCACTCACTAAATAATATCTCCAAAAATATTTTATATCGGAAATTGACTGCATCGTCTGTAATTGTGTGTGCTCGTCTGGTGGCCCAGCGTTGAAACCATATGAGCAATGGGAAAATTATTCTTCGATTAATACCCGAAGGGACCGATATCTTAACGAGCCAAACTGAGACTGCGAAATGCCCACATGGGTGGTTCAGCTTTCGTTCACACACTAAAATGGGTTGCCATTCAGTCGGAAATTGAAAATAAATCTGCCCGTTCGGCATAATTTAATACACCACTG